CACCAGCCTGAGGAAGGTGTTAACTCAGGACCAAGAAGGTCTCCGGTGCTTCCTCCTGCCCGCTTCTCCATAAGCAACTCCACCTACAGTTCCCAAGACTGAGCCTGGGAAACATAAGAGGTCCAGGCCCGACTGGTCCGGACAGCACCTTTGGGAGCAGGTGAGGCAACGGGGAGACCCCTTCCTAGGCAGGCAGCAGAGCTCATGACACCAAGCAGCAGCCTCAGAACCCTTCCCACGGGGCCTGTGGCTTCCCCTCTGGCTGGTTCGGCCAGCTCGGCTGCCCGTCTGAGCCTGTGGGCACTGCGGGGACAGTGCACAGAGGCAAGAGTCAGGAAACCAGCCTCCTGGAGGGGCACCTTGCCCGAGCACGGAATCCAGCAGGGCTCAGCACACGGGCTGCTTCCCCTTGGCAATCATGAGTTTCTTTGGGTACAAACCTGCTTCCTACTGCTTTAGTGGTTACTGAGTACTTTTTAAGCCCCACGGCATGTGTCTGGGACACTGACAAAAGGGTCAGCGCTGCTACCCAGCAGGTAGGAAGAAACATCGGTAACAGAGGAGGGAATGACAAAGTAACGGCAAGACTGGAGAGGAAAGACGTGCTACCTAAAGACTCGTGGACACAGCTCTCCAGAGCAAGACGCCCACGTGCTCTGCAGAAGCACTTGTATGTAGTATGTCTCTAATTACTTTCAAAATCCCACAAACTGTACATCTGTGCATTTCATGAACACAGATGTCGCAGTGGAAGGTTCTTTCCACGGCAAGCTCACGGCTAAACTCTGGAGGAGGAGGAGGAGGAGGAGGAAAGCAGGACCGAAAGTTCAGAGCGAATCCGAAGAACAAGGCCGCCCACCCGGATGCTGCCCCGGGAGCCCAGAACACGCGGTGACGGCCTCTGGACAGGAGGGGGCAGAGCAGTGGCCAGCAGGGGCTACAGGGCCCTGCGGTGAGAGGAGCCTTTCCCAACAACAACCTTGGCTACAGTCAGAGAATGAGTGCGTGAGGCCTGAGCCGAAAGTGTGAGAATCGCGCTTCCTGCCTACGTCCCCAACGCCTGTTTTCATACACAAAGTTCCTGGGAACACAGCCCCTCCTGGTCACTCGTGTGTTCTCTGGCAGCAACACAGACCGAATGGCCCACAAAGCTGAAAATACTTACCATCTGGCCCTTTACAGAAAGAGCTGGCCAACCCCTGATCTAAAACCACCATGGGGAAAAGCACGACGACAGCCATTACCTGGCAGGCACACACGCAGGAAAAGGGCATTTTTAGGCTTCAATATTGCACATGCATTCACTCATCAAGCCCTTTGTTCTGGAAACGAGTCTCTTTCGTGGTGGCCGTGGCAGAGGTGCCACCAGACAGTCCTCACCCTCCCCATGCCCAGGGCTGGCAGTGCGGCCGGGCCACGTGGCAGCGATGGGCCACGGGCGGCAGCCAGGTGCCTGCCAGTCGGCTCCCCCGCAGGGGTGACCACCAGGGTGACCCTCCAGGAGAGCCACCCCACAGGGGACAGGCCAGGAACACACAAGTGAACGTGTGCTGCGAGCACCAAGACTCCAGGGTTAGCTTCTCACCTGCTGGGTGGCAGCGCAGACCAGGCCCCACTGTGTCCCTCCTTCCCCACGGGGTACAGAGCCCAACAAAGGAGAAAAACACGGCCCACCCCCAGTCAGCCCCCCACCAAGCCTACTGAGATCTTAAACCACTCGCAAGCCTGCCGAACTCAGCCAAGGTCCCGCACAGAAGCACTCACACGGCTGGCGGAGCAGGGCCAGGCGACCAGGGCCAAGCAGAAAGCCCTCGAACGCCTCAGGGAAGAAATGACTTTTCCAGGGGGTGAAGCAGTCGGGACAGGGTTTCCCTCTTTGCGGAATCGTCTTCTTGCCACACTTTACATAATCTTCAGTGTGATGTGGTGGAAAAAGCACGAGTTTTCAAAGGTGTGGCAAGTGGACTCAAAATCCAACCCTGCCACTTAGCTAAGTGATCCTACCCAGAGCTTAACCCCTCTCAAAACTCAACTGTCTGTTGGACAGCTACATATAAAAGAATGAAATTAGAACACTCTCTAACCCCATGTACAACAATCAACTCAAAATGGATTAAAGACCTAAATGTAAGACCAGAGGCCATAAAACTCCTAGAAGAAAACATAGGCAGAGCACTCTTTTGACATAAATCATAGCAATATTTTTTGGATCTGTCCCCTAAAGCAAAGAAAATAAAAGCAAAAATAAACAAAATGGGACCTAATTAAACTTAAAATGTTTGCACAGCAAAGGAAACCATCAATAAAACGAAAAGACAGCCTACTGAATGGGAGAAAATATTTGCAAATGATATGACTGATAAGGGGTTAATATCCAAAATACATAAATGGCTCATACAACTCAACATGAGAAAAAACAAATGATCCAATCAAAAAATGGGCAGAGGATCTGAACAGACGTTTTTCCAAAGAAGACATACAGATGGCCAAAAGGCATGTGAAAAGTTTCTCAACACCGTTAATCATCAGAGAAATGCAAATTAAAACCACAATGAGCTGTCACCTCACACCTGCCAGAATGGCTATCATCAAAAATACCACAAAAACAAATGTTGGAGAGGGTGTGGAGAAAAGGGAACCCTTGTGCACTGTTGGTGGGAATGTAAATTGGTGCAGCCACTATGGAGAACAGTATGGAGGTTTCTCGAAAAGCTAAAAATAGAACTACCTAATGATCTAGCAATTCCACTTCTGGGTATTTATCCAAAAAAAATGAAAACACTTAACTCGAAAAGATATATGCACCCCTAAGTTCATAGCAGCATTACTTACAATTGCCAAGATATGGAAGCACCCTAAGCGACCATCAACAGATGAACGGATAAAGAAAATGTAGTGTATATATACAATGGAATGTATATATATATATATATATATATATATATATATATGTATACACACACACACACATACATACATACATACACAAGGGAATATTACTCAGCCATAAATAAGAATGAAATGTTGCCATTTGCAGCAACATGGATGGACTTGGAGGGTATTATGCTAAGTGAAACAAATCAGAGAAAGACAAATACTATATGAGCTCACTTATATGTGGAATCTAAAAAAGAAAACAAGCCAGTGAACATAACAAAAAAAAAGCAGACTCACAGATATACAGAACAAACTAATGGTTACCAGTGGAGAGAGGGAAGGGGCGAGGGGCAAGACAGGAGTAAGGGATTAAGAAATACAAACTACTATGTATAAAATCAACAGGCTACAAGGATATACTGTACAAAAACAGGGAATATAGCCAATATTTTATAACTAGGAATGGAATATAGCCTTTAAAAATTGCAAATCACTGTGTTGTACACCTAAAATTTACATAATATTGTACATCAACTATACCTCAATAATTTTTTTTAGAAGTCCAAGACCAGTTTGCTCCACTTGACCCAGGTCCCTCTAGTTTTGCCTCCTTTTCCCATCTCTGGGGCTCAGGGCCATCATCTATTAAACAAGGAGCTCAGGTTACAAGGCCATCTCTACTTCCTGTAAATGTACTGAAAGTGAACTAAACTGTCTGATGAGAAAAAAAATCTCACCCATGAACAATCTGTAACCGCTGGCAGAAGTTTCTTTTCCGTTAGGATGAAATAAAGACTAAAGAGTGGGGCTTCCCTGGTGGCGCAGTGGTTGAGGGTCCACCTGCCGATGCAGGGGACACGGGTTCGTGCCCCGGTCCGGGAGGATCCCACGTGCCACGGAGCGGCTGGGCCCGTGAGCCATGGCCGCTGAGCCTGCGCGTCCGGAGCCTGTGCTCCGCAACGGGAGAGGCCACAGCAGTGAGAGGCCCGCGTACCGCAAAGAAAACAGAAACAAAACAAAACAAAAAACGAAAGAGTGCACACCTGTTCCTTGCTTTCATGGACAAGAAGACACAGCTGATGTTAAGTGAGATTTAAGAAGTAGGGAGAGCAAGGAACGTATTTTACTAAACTTACTAATACTCCCACCTGTCTCTAGTTTCCCTTTCTTGCACACTTTGTTGGAGGAGAGAGCTGTTTAATTAAGGACATGTAACAATAAAAATAGAATTATAATTTGTTTTCACCCATAAAAAGTTGTCTACATAGGAAAATGTTTTCCAATAATAAGAATAACATTTGTTAACTCTAAAATTTCAATCTTAAAACACAAGGAGTAGAAGGTAAAAGTTATGCACCTTCTACCCCCAAAGATATGTTATTTTCTTTAAGTTTAGCATTCATTCAAAACCTTCTCAATATATATATGCAAACTATATTTTTAAATAAAATAATACTACGTGTAAACTTTACAACTTGCTTTTTCACTTAACAATGTATACTACAGACATCTTTTCATTTGAATTTACATTGATTCACCTTATTCTTTTCAAAGACTGCGTAGTATCCCATTGTGTAGATGAAACAAAATTTATTAAGCCCTCACTCCTGAGCCTGATATGCTCCTCTTTAAACTCAGGTCCCTGGGCTGAGAAGGTAAGACAGGGCAGAGGCTGAGGGCTGAAAATTACATGAGTATTTTCTACCTGAGTGCTTCATTTCAGGCTCTGACCTCTTCCTGGCAACAGCACATTTGGCACAAACCTAAATATGCATGAAGCAAGATCAGTGAATTCATGGAAACCATGAGGGGAAGGATACCCTTCATCTTTCCATCAATACATAAGGTTAAAATTGTCCAGTTTAAAATACAGCTGGCCAGGTAAGAATAAAGCCATGAGAATACTTAAACACTTCTGGTGAGCTGAGTCCTATTTCCAAACATTTAAGTCATCTCCACTCCAAGAAAAATATTTCGCCAGTATGCTGGCCTTTAACAAATCCTGTAAGACAGGAGTGAAACAGGAACACCTGCATACTGACGTTAAGAACCTATTATTCCAAGAATGCTGGGCCTTTAACTGTGCAATGAACCCGAGCACCTTACCCAGGCAGCTTATATACCTTATACAGCGGACGACGGACATCGATGGGGCAGCTCTGAATGACTTCATCAACAACGTCCGAGATGGACTCCATAAAGTCTGGGTTGGCAAACTGAATTTCATATAAATATAAAAGAAACATTACACATTTCTCTCAATAACCTTTTTAAAAAGTAACTTTAACAAATACAAAATGTACTATACCTTTAAAACTGTCACACTGGAATGACTACGTCAAATGTTCATACGTCAGAAGAACCCAAGTGACTGTGCATGGGGTGATGGTGACACGTGCCCTCAGGAGATGACATGTGTGGGGTCAGCAAGGGGAAAACATCAAAGTGTAGCAAAAACAGACCCGCTCTGCATTAGGACACACGGTGAATCCTGCTGTCAGAGTGTGAAACGTGTGTGCATGACGTATGTGACATGTAATGAAAACGCCGTGAGTACAGAATAAGTATACCACTTACGAACATTATCATCATGAAAAAACTAGACATGATATAAGAAAAAAACACAGTCAATGAAAGATCACACTGTAAACCTGAGCTAGAAGCCTGGGGAGGGTTCAGGAGGGTGGCTTTTAAATGAAACAGTCAATATGGTAGCAATCATGTCACTGAGTAAACAGTCTTGGATTTAATTCCGTAAGTTAAATAAGTTAAAGTATAAATAATTCAACTTAAAAAAACTTTAAATACACTTTAAAAATCAAGGAAAGCTTTAACGTACTCAAGGGGAAGAAGGTAACATCCAGTTGCTCACCAGCTGTTCACTGGACATTTTCGGTTTTATGTCTATTTTAAATCAGTAATATCAAAGGCATGATTATTAGATTATAGTAAGGCATACATTGTGTGCCACTTCCCTATACAAAATGGTCATACACATCGAAAAACAGGCAGCAGTTTGTAACCTACCTATCAAATGTAAACTGAATTAGGCAGAAAAATATACCAAAATACAAATAAAATCCGCTTTATTTACACCTTAAAATGTTGCCTCTTGATGACTGCTTCTGCAAAAGTAATAATAATTCTTTGTGACTATAGTTAAAATGATGATATCTGTAATTCCTAAAGCCCATCTAACTAATGGAAAGGTTAGTCCTCAGACAGAGGCTTTAACTAACTTCAGCAGGGAACACAGCAGGACCAACTGTCTGGGGTCAAAAGCTGCAACTAGGATGGACCATCACCAAGGGTGGAAAGGTTACATGTTACCCTACTCCCATACAAAGGCAGATTGCATTCGGTCCCCAAGATTAACTAGTTTTCATATTACTATGGATTAATTTCATTTCCATTATCTTCTGTTGCTCTTAAAGCTTCTCCCTAATCACTCACTATCTCTAACAGAGAATCAAGTCTAAAGAGGGGCATCAGTCAAGCAGGCAACCTGCACAGGGGCTGTAAGAGCTGCAGAGGGTGCAGCGTCTATCCAGGAAACCCCACTGGGGACTCTCTGTACACACATGAGGTGGCAGTATCGCTCCACATGTGCCATACCTCACACTCAAAAAGCTAACATCTTACCTCCGGGTGAAAGAAAATCTCAGGGCCCAGGAACCTTTCGTAGCCAACATCTACAATGAACTGCTTCTGGTTGACTGCATTGATCCCCGTGTACTGCCTGATCCACTTCTGAGGATCCGCGTCATACTTGGCAAACTCCTTGACGATATCCGGGCAAATGTAACAGTACTTCTCCTGCAGACACACACACACGTCAGCAGAGTCTGCCCTCTGACAGGTACCCAGGAACCCCCAGCATCAAACACCCTGAAATGAGTCCCACACACACACAGCTCCAGCATGGACGTATGGCCAAGCCTCACAGACTTTTCATGACTACGCTCTGGACTTGTAAATCTGCTTCCTTTGCAGCTCGGCTATGAACCTCAGCCTTACCCTATCAAATTTTGCTGCATTATCATCTGAAGTGATGTCTAAAGGTATCCCTCTCCGCTTCCTCATTCCTCCTGGGCCCCTACACAGCGCCTGGCCGGGCACACACCGCCATCCACCCTGCACCAGTAGACCACATTCCCCACGATGAATGCGGTGGATCTCCCTCCCATGCCTACCACGGCCCACCGGTGGGTCGTGAACCTGCTGTGCAGCCCAACACAGCACGGTCATCAGCTCCACGACAGTATTCACTGAGTGCCTAGGCACACGGGATGCGCAAGTGAACAAAACACACACAGACCCCCGCCCACTGGAGCATGAGAAGCCACTCATGGTTTCCACCCCAGCACCGGACCAGCCTGACAGGTGGGAAGTGTCTCCTCAGCATCTGGTGACGCTCGACTGGGGAGCTCTGGGTCGATCATCTGTCCTGAGAGCTAACCTCAGCAAAGCAGCAGGTGGCACTTGGGTGGCAGATTCTGAAAGTAAGCTGTCTGTGGGCAAGGTGGGCTTTGTTCAACACCAGGCACACAGCTGGAGCTCACTACACATTTTACAAGGACCTCTGAAGGTCTTTTCATGATATTAAGTTTAAAGTTTCTGAGAATCCCTGAAACAGATCCTAATACCGTCCTTGATATACTTTGTCGAATTATAAGCTACAAAACCCTGCTCGTTGACAACAGAGCGAGTCAGCCCATATGACTTTAAATCTACCGACTGGAGACAGAAACATTACATTGCCTTAAGAGGCCTGGTCAATTTCTTAGGGCACCTCAGCTGGCTTAACTGATGGCATGAAGCGCCTCCTTGAAGCTGGACGGAGAGCAGCCTTGTCAGCCCTAAGTTCTGGACTCCCGCTGCACGGACAGTGTGTGCCAGAGCCCACCAGCCTCAGGCCCACCTGTGACCCTGGGAGTGACAGGATGCAGGGGCTCTAACCACCCTTTCCAGGATCTCCTCCATCACAGAGAGAAGTGAGGCGAGAACGAACAGCAGGGTCGGGGCAGCTCATCTGCAAGAACACAAGGAGTCTCTCGCACACCCGACCTTCACTGCTGAGCGCCACACTGTCAGGGCCGGAATGGGCCAGCTCCGGGCTCAGGGCCAGAACCGGACCCCAGAGAGCCAGCAAGTGAAGGAAATACCTCCCGATCATCACACTCAGGGCTCTGCTCACCCCGAGGGTCAGGTCCTATTTGTGAAAGAGGGCGTGGTGAGGGAACCTGGATCAGAGATCCAAATCTCTTTCCTTGAAGAAAGGCAAGGAGAGGAAGAGGGAAAGTTGGGGAAATATTTTATTCTAAAAAGAAAGTCTTATGTTGCTTCTATAACCTTCCCACCAGAAGGAAAGGACGGGCCCTGGTGCCTTGGCTTGGCATTCAAGGTGCTCCCGTCCTGGGCACACGGGGCAGCGGGCCCCTCCTCACAGGAGCCCTTACCACTGCCAGTGCGCCCGGGCTCAAAACACCTGTGTTCACCAGGAGTGGCGGGTGAAACGCGGGAGTCCCGCCCCCGCCCCATGCTTCCTTTCCTTTTAGCCAGCCCGGTCCTGGGTGCTTAGTGCAAGGAAACCAGGGAGCAGCGATGGGGGCGCAGGAGAACAGGCTAGACTCCCCTGCGGCTCAGAAGCTAAGTGTATGCTCAAGGCCATGTGTCATCCCCGCGTTTAAATTCTTCTCCAGAAACAAACAAAACCCTTGCTCTTCATCTATATGAAGATCACGCTTGTATTACTAAGAATCTCTTGCATTTTGGCTTAAAAAAAACACAATAATTTGTCCTAATTTTGCAACCTGAAAAGAAAGTTCCTTTCAACAGGGTCTGTCAACTGCTACATACAGAGTCGTACAAAGACCAGACTGATGGATCGGGCCAAGCGGGCATTTTAAAAAAGGAACAATGAGCCATTTTTCTTCTACTCTTACTGATTTAATTTTAAAACCTCCTGTAACTTTTCCAGCATGGTAATTACAGTCTGGAAACTACATGTGGATTCTGTTTTATGATTCCACCCTAGAATAGCATTACTCTGAACTGTAATTCACAGGGCACAGAACCACAGACTACAGGTACTGGAAGTTAGTGTGAATACTGGCTGACTTCACAGGACTCCGAACGGTCGCTGCTGCTGCTGCCTGTTCCTTATTCTAGAAATGAACTTGATGGGAGACACATCCAGCTAACTGAAGGTTCTACCTGCTCAGGCGCCAATGAAACGATGCTGTACTGCGTAGGGCGCTCAATCCCAGTGATCAGGCTGCTCTCATGTGTAGCTGGAAGCTCCACAAGCGTAAACACATCGAGACCCACATTCGTGGGGAGTGGGGAGGAAGGAAGGTGAGGGCGGGGGGTCTCAGCAGCAAGGGAAGCACCCAAACACCATTCCTCTCTCACCCGCAAGCCGGCCCCATTTGCTCCTGCTTTTACCTTGATGGCTTTGGCAGTCTCCAGCGACTGCTCCGGAGGAATCCCCACCTCCCGCTCCCTCAGCAGCTGTTGCATGAAATACGTAATATCTCTCCCTGCGATAGGGATGTGTTTGATGCAGCTTCCAATGACATACCCTTCTGCCTAGGAAGAAGAGACAGACAGCGTGTGAGCGACTCCAGGAGAGAAGGGCTCCCTGGGCGCTAAGACAGTCTCCCGCCCCGCCCGCGTCACTGCATTTACTGAGTCCCCACTCTGTGCACAGCTCGGGCCTGGAGGTCTTTTCAAACGACCGCAGGCACAATTCCGTTAGTAGAACCGGAGATGCCCTGTAAGCCACAAAAATGACGTCTTCGTCAGGAAAGTGAAGAGAAAAACCACATGAAATGGTTCATTTCCAAAAAGTACTGCCGTTTGTCAGAACAACGGATCAATCATTTTTTTCTTCCTCTAACAAAAGGGAAGAAGTTTATCTATAAAATCATTAGAACAACTATAAATCGACCTGTATTGAAAAGTCAACCATTTGGTTAGCAGGCAGGACATGGCTTCTAACAACCTGGACTCAATCCGGTTCCACATCTGTGGGCTGAGTGACCGTGGACACGTCTGGCAACGTTTCATCATCAGTTCCTTCATCCATAATATGGGGCAAACGGGGTTTATAATACAGAATTCATGAAACAGAGTAAGTCCCGCTCACAGCCCTGTTTGGGACTAGTAGTTAGGTACTCAATAAACGGTCCCCTTTACTGTACAAAGGGCGGCACTTGGTAGGAGTGATTTTGGCCAGTTCACCCAGATGCTCTGCCGTGTGAGACCAAGCTGAGAGGAGCTGGGATCCTCTTGCTGGGCCGCCCCCTGCCAGCGCCAGGAAGGGAGCTACAGCCCTTTGTCCGCGGCCTGCAGCTCGGCCCGAGGGCCCACACCTTTTAAAAGGAGCTATACACACACACACACACACCCCATATATGCAGAAAATATGCCTGTAATATACATAGGTAACTAGTAACAGGGCTCTCTGAGCAGGGGGCTTGGAGGAGGAAGATGAGAAGGAAGAGGAGGTCTGACTGTCCACTGTGTGTCCCCTTGCAGGTAGCTTCGATTCATGTTCAAAAAAGCAAACTTCAGGGCTTCCCTGGTGGCGCAGTGGTTGAGAGTCCGCCTGACGATACAGGGGACACGGGTTCGTGCCCCGGTCTGGGAGGATCCCACATGCTGCGGAGTGGCTGGGCCCGTGAGCCATGGCCGCTGAGCCTGCGCGTTCGGAGCCTGTGCTCCGCAACGGGAGAGGCCACAGCAGTGAGAGGCCCACGTACCTCAAAAAAAAAAAAAAAAAGCAAACTTCAAATAATTCATTTAAATAGTTCACTGGACCGAAAGAAAAATACAGACGTTGTCTCTTGAACCTGAATTAGGAATCACTTCTCTAATATTTTGAAAATTAAAACCAAAAAGTGACACTGCAGAGCATTCTGCAAGTCAAAAGGAACAATCTCCTCTTCTTGGCTCTTAAATAAATTCTGAAAAACAAGAAGCGATTTCTCTAAAGCATGAGCTGGGTAAAGCTGTCCATATCTTGTCACAGAACACAGAGCTCATCCTTCAGAGCGGCCGTGCACCACACCTACTGATACCCAAGCTGACAGCTCAGAATGTAAGCCAGGAAGGCCCTCCTGGTGATGTACCCCCGGTGATCAAGCAGAGCCCTGGAGACCCCGAATGACTGCTGACATCTGATTGCAGAAATTTCCCAGCAAGAATTCCAACTTGCCAGCACCGAAGACACTGGTTTTCTTCTTCTTTCTCACATACCTGAGTTTAAAGACTCTTGTTACCTTTGCTAAGTACAGTTACGGTTTCTAAAGTGGTATTTTAATTACAGAAGGGTTTTTTCCTTTAATCTCTCCCCTTACCTCCAGTCGGGGGAGGCCTACAGAAAGTGAAGCACTGAACACTCTGCTTACCACTGGGATAGCATGGGTGACCCCATCCCCACTGTCGATGACGATCCCCGTTAACGTACGTTCGCCCACTTGTCGCGAGGTCCAAGACGCTGCTAAGGCCAGCACTGCCTGCACCAAAGACATGGAGACCATCAGCATTCGGGGAAACTCTTCCCAAGGACTGCACCTGATTGTTCTCAGGTTCAATCAATAAGACCTTTCTTAAGAGTAACTCTTTCCCTTCCCTATCCTCCAGCTTCCCCCCAAACTTCAAATTCCAAATTGAACAACTAACACGCAAATTTTGTATACTTCATCTGGAGGGGTCAAGTTTTCAATAAAATAAATCAAAGTTTTGCAAAGAAAAGCTGGAGAGGATCACCAGAGGCAACAGCCTGTGCTATCTCCCAAATTAATTTTCTATGCAACTCCTTCTCCTTTTTCCTAGAAGGGACTGGAATATTCAGAAAACATTTTAGGAGATACTTTTTAAAAATTTATTCCCCCAAATCCCAGTCAATTCCCTTATACAGGGTGGCAGATAAATAACGACATCCAAAACCAACAAAAATCCCCACACTAAGAACAAGTAGCTTCAAAGGAAGTCCTACAAGCTCATGGAACCACAGGAGCCCAAATCCCAAAGGGGGAACCCTCTAGAGACATATGTTTTGTTTTTTAGCAGATATCATAGTATCTTTCCTTTTTTATGATCAGAAGTGAAAGAAGCCAAAAAAGAACCATCATATCGATCTTGTCATCCAGAGAAGAATACATTAGATTCTAAAGCATGTAAAAAGACAAAAGCTGGACAAACTCTATACCAGCAGTAAAAACATAAAGATATAAATCACAGAACATGGTCTGTACAGTGTTTGAGTTCAAACCTGAATGGGGTGGGTGTGTACGTGTGTGTAGGGTGTGGAAAAGGAAGAACGTACAGCACAATCTTACAACAGAGGCCTTGAGAATCACCATTTCTTCCACTATTAGACAGCTACGGTCATTTGGGAATTATAAAAATCACTTTGTTTTTACCTGAACTGCAATGTAGAGTCCTGGTACATTAAATGATTCAAACATAATTTCTGCAAGATATTCTCTGTTTTCTGGTGTGTTCAGTGGAGGTTCTGTCTGTAAGAAAACATTCACTATATTTAGTGTTCACCCAAATTTCATGTAACTATATCAGAATCATAAAAAAGTTAACCTAAAAGCATGTTAATTAGGATGCTGTACAACTTCCTGATTTTACAGGTAGCGCACACCCAGAGCATACTCTAAAGAAATTTGTACTTAAAGAAACTGTCTTAAAGAACTTTGGCTGCGGGGCTTAAAAGCTTTGACACAGGGCTTCCCTGGTGGCTCAGTGGTTGAGAGTTCGCCTGCCAATGCAGGGGACACGGGTTCGTGCCCCGGTCCGGGAAGATCCCACATGCCGCGGAGCGGCTGGGCGCGCGC